AAAGAGCACTGCCACCACTGCAGATGTCACCTTGGAATGGTCACAAACAAAGAGCACTGCCACCACTGGATTTGTCACCTTGGAATGGTCTCAAAGAGCACTGTCACCATTGCAAATGTCACCTTGGAATGGTCACACAGATCAGGAGAGTGGGGAACTGGGAGACAGAAGAGCAGCAAAACCTCTCAACTGTCCATGAGTCACCAACTCTGACCACAGGCAACTGATAAAGGGAAACATCCAGTTGCCAAAAAAATCTTCATGAAGTGAGGAAAAGGAAGAGAGGGAGGCAAAGAGACCAAGTTCCCTGGCAGGAGTTTTTGTTTTTGATGATGCTTCAAAAGGGAGTTACCTGGACGAGGGTCAGAAGAACACTGAGTAGGTGCCAGAGTGGTTCTGAAAATGCTGGGATGTTCATGGATTTTCATTCCTGGAAAAGCACAGGCCCCCTCCCCAGAGTCTCTGACTCAAACCAACTCCCCTGTTTTCGCTCCATATCAAAGCCCACCCACACTCTGCTCCCAGAGGGGCTTCTCAGCTGCACATGAAACACTTGGAGAAGTCCAGAACTTCACCCGCATCATCCCACGAGTGCCAAAGGCACCAGGAGCAGCGATGGCCACGGGGCACAAAGGCAGAGCAGGGCCTTGGGGGAGGCAGGTGAGATGCATCACCTCCAGGAGATGATGGGATGGGAAGGGAGGGATCATCAGAGGTGCTGCTGGGCAGGAACAGGTCGTTCCTCCTTGGAAGAGGAGTGCAAAATGGCTTTTTAGGGAGGTGCAGGCAGCCAATTCGCATCACAACACAGTGAAGCTTCTCAGCTCTGCTCAGACAGAAGGATCTGTCACTGTGCCAGACCATTGTCAGCTGTTTGTACCCCAGAATCATGGAATGGTTTGGGAGGGAAGGGACCTTAAAGCTCGTCTCCTTCCACCCCCTGCCATGGGCTGGGACAAATTCCACTAGACCAAGTTGCTCCAATCCCATCCAACCCGGCCTTGACTTTCC